CTCCTCACCGGCACCTCCTCCCTCCTCTCTTTCTCTCCCCGCCTCTCCTCCCGCCTTTCTTTCTCCCCACCTCCACTCGCACCACTCTCACTCCTCACACTTCTCCCACTTCGTCCGTTCAGCGACCTCGACAACTCGCTCGACCGCCCAAAGCCCGGCGACGCGAACTCATCAAAGCCAATCAGATCATCGAGCAGATTCGACGCGCGGATCGAGCTCGCCATGCGATCTACGGGCGACGATCGTGCCATTGGCGAGCGCGGCCGTTTGCGCGATGGTGCCACGGCTGGCGTCGTGGTCGTGTGCGCGTTGTCATTGTCGTGGTCGTGATCGTTGTTGAGAGGTTGAGAGGATGTAGGGGGCGGAGCGTCGGGCGCGGGCGAGGACGCAAAGTTGAAGTAGCTCGGTGGTGCGGACTCGTGGTCGGGCGTGGCGGGTGTAGCGGGTGGAATGGGCGGGTTCGACGTCGATGGCTCTGGCTCTGGCAAAGGCGAGCGTGGCGCCACCGACGTGGGTGGTTCTTCTGCGACGGCCGGCAGTGGTGTTGCCGGCTCCGGGGCGGGTGGGGCGTGGGCAGGCGTGGCCGGACTCGCGCTGCCCATCTGCATCGTATCGTCAGAAAAAACATGTAGTAATAAAATACGAATGAGACAAACACACCCTCTTTCTGGCTCTGTATAGCGCATCCATACTGGCCCTGGGCCCAGGCGTCGGCGTAGCAGGCACCTCAGCCTCCTTTACACTCTCCAACCTCCCCATCCCCTCGATCTCCATCCCGTCCAACTCCCGCACATCCGCCGGCTCAGACGTATACCTCAACGCCCGCACCGGGCTCCTCCTCCTCCTCGGACTCATCACCTCTCTCAAATCCACCCGCCGCGGCGACTCAGACGTCGCGCGCGGCCTCTCTCTCTCCGGCGAGTTGAGTGGTGGCCGTTCTTCCGCTGTGGTCGCCTTGATCCTCGTCCCGCCAAAAATCCGCCGCGCAGCCTCCCTATCGTCCAACTTCACCCTCTTGCGCTCGCCCTCGTCGCCCTCCTCCGGCTCCGTCGACGGGCTCCGTTTCTTCTTCCCCCTCCCGCCCTTTCTGCTCCGCGGGCTCAGCAGTATCGGGTCTTCGCTCTCCTCGCCCACCTCCTCGGTCTCCTCTACCGCATGTGTCGACGTTGTGGCCTGTGATGGAACAGCCTGGGAGGACGAGCCAGACTGCGTCCGCCCGGCGCGTCGCGCGGCTTTCATCGGCGACTGGCCCGGGTCGAACGCCGCGGGCGCGAAGTACTCGTTCATCGTCCTCTGGCGCGTGCGCAACGCCATCGTCTTCTCCTCGTGTGATTATCTTCTTTGTATGTCGTGTTTCGTGAGGCAAAGGAAGAGGGGTATCGCAGGTGGTGGTTAAGCGCGACGTGCTTCGACTCGCGGAACGAGCGCGTCGACCAACTGTGGGCACGGTCACGTGGGTTTCGGGGGCTGTATGGTTCGTTGGGTGGCGGCGTTTCGCGGCGGGCTTTCTGTGCTTTGGCCCCTAGATGACCAGCCGTAGAATACTCTCCAGCTCCGAGATGTAGAACAGTAAGCCCGATACTCCACGATACGAGGTGGAACCGAGCGTCTCGCGCGCACCCGGCGCTAGCTGCCCATTCCAGCGACGTGATAAGTACCTGCCATCGGGACAGCTAGTCTACAGAGGTGTTGTACTTCGTCCATAAGTAAGTATCCAAAGTCGTGTATCACAGATCCTGGTACGGCATAAGCACTCGGCTGCAAGATCTCCATCTTGTAAACTTCCTTGTGGGAGTCCGGGCCCAAAGTGACGTCTCGAACCACCATACTCCCAATGAGTTCGGGAGTCCCTCCCATGAAGGACGCGCTATTCCGTAGACTGAGCATCGCAGGCGCAGTCCTCAGTACTTGCGCTTGAGGACTTGTATTGCGCTTTGGGCTTCTGACCGAATGCTTCTGGCCATCCGCTGTTGCCAACGTCTTCAACGATGCGGGATAGGCGAAGTCGATCGGCATTTCTGCGGCGGTTTGTAGAGGAAAGTAGATGAGTCGCAGACCATTGCAAGAACCTGAAAGGACTATATCAAAGATGGCTTCGCACGAGCGAGCGCGAGCGCTCAGAGAGCGTCGGTGTCCCGATTCGGACGTTGGGCGCTACATGCAATGCCCCGCACGTAACGTCTTGTCTTGTACATCAACGACAGCCAAGTATAGAGCGCCGGCCATCCCGTCCAAGGGGCGTCGTGTGTGAAGGAAAGGGTACTTATGGGTGTACAATGTGGCACTAGTTACATTACGGTGCGCGGCATTCTATATGGGCCACTCAGTCTACCTTTTCGAGTATGTCCGATGACGACGTCGTCTCCTTTGCACACATCCAGTAATGAAGAAAGTACATGTACTGTTGGACATCCTTTGGCACTGCCACTTGCACGGCTATGCAGTACGTCGCTCCCCGACAATTCCATCTCTGGTTTCGTTCGCGGAAAAATAGAGGATTTTGACAGGGTCCCCAAGCCCCATTCCCACACCTCGAACCTTCCATCCAGCCATACCACCTCGCATCGTACCGTGAATGAAGCCGCTTCTTCCCCTCAACACCGTAGACGCTTGTACGACCGTGTGTCGTCTACGACTGCTTCAAATGCACCGTACAACTCGCCCATACTCTCCCATCCGAGAGCACTTGGCAATATATATGAGCACACAAGACAAAGCACCATGCACGAAGCGCCAGCGCCGCCATTGGGCGCCTACTTCTATCCACGTGGTAAGGATCACCGGCCCGCTTCCCAAATACGACAGCTCATTCCCGCCGGCGGTGCAATCGTACAGCTTCCATGCATACGCTCTCCCAGGCCAATCCCAGGCACTTTCCGCCTGGAAGCCCTTCTGCACAAGACACCCCGTATTGAGGACGTCTGCAGCATGATGATTTGTACGCGAGAAAAATGTGGATGTCAAACAGTTTCCCCAAGCCCCATTCCCACGTCCCTCGAGCCCGCCACCCCACCTTGCATTGCATTATGAGCCATGCCGCTTCTTCCGTTTATAATCACATATGGCGCATACACGGCCCGATGCCGTTTGTAGCTGCTGCAGAAGCACCATACCATTCGTCTATACGCTCCGGCCAGCAAACAGTGAGAACCGGACATGAATACACGAGACAAAACACGATACACGAAGCGTTAGCACCGCCAATGAGCGCCTACTTCAACCCACGTGGTAAGGATCATTCGGACCGTCGTACAAGTGTCATAACTGACCCGCATCGTGTTTCCTCGGCAGTGCCATTGCATAGCTTCCATGCATACACTCTCCCTGCCCCTGTGGTCACCGGATCCGCGGCGCACGTACACTCGTCTTCGCAAAACGATACATTCGACTCCGCCCTGGTAAGCCATATGTACCACAGCGGTATCTAGAAGCCTGACCTTTCAATGGATCAACTTCGCCGGCGCGATATGCCTCTGCATCATCGCAGCAGGCTACGCGTCGCCCGACAGCTTGAAGACGTCTCCGCTGCTCATCACCTCCGTGACGTGCGCAATCGTAGGGTGCCTATTCACGCTGGCGGCGCTAGCCCTCGGTCGCGATGAGGGCAGGCAGTGTTTCTTGCTGCTGAGCCTAACGAGTGCGGCAGCTGGCACGGTCATCATGGTCGCATCAACACAGACTTGGGAGATCGCAATGCTCGCGAGCATATGTATCGCTATGACGGCAGGCGTGGTATGGCGACTGAGAGCACATGCGAGATGACGGGACCGCAGGCGATTAGTTGTTCCGAGTTCTGTCTGTCAGTCTCTTCTTCGGTGGTCCGTGCTGCATACATATGTCAACATCTGAATGGACTTTACAGTCTCCGCACGCACAGAAAGTATACGCCCAGTACATGTATTTTGGCAATTGCGCACGGTCGAGACGGAGGCCGACATCAGCCGCACAGAGTTCCTCTTTCTCTCTGGGTGTTCTATCTTGTTGGGATCCACGCATCTC